TACTTGGAGATTCTGGGAGATGATCAACTTTTCAATGTGCTGAAAAATGGGGAATATGTCTAAAATGTTAAGAAATCAGAAAATGCTGGCTCATAAGTCCACTTGTCCCATCCTGTGTAAAGGGGTCATCTCTTAGCAACACATATTCAGCGGATGACCACAACTTTTGAAATAAAGAAAAAAACTTTTTGAAAAGTAGTTTTCATAGGGAGGCAAAGGGCCAGGCACATATAATGTGTGGACACATGTCAAATCATTCACACGAAAAATGTGCAGATCCGTTTGACAAATGCAGCCGTTGGTCCTTTTGATGCTGTGAAATGAGGCTGTGAATCAACCCTATCTCACTTACTGAAAAGAAAATGTAGCAACAGAGAATGCAGATAAATAAGTAAGGCTACATGGTTGGATAATTTCACTCTTGCCATAAAGGATTTATAGTACTGTCTCTCTCATTACAGAGCAACCATTGGTTCATCGGTACACAAATCACATTTCTCAGGAGAGATGTTTTCAAGTGTAAGACAAGAAAAGTATTGACCAGTGCACAAAAATGTATAAGAAGATCTGTGGTGTGCTAACTATCTGGGATTTCGCTGTTGTTTCAGATTGATTCTTGTGCTCTGAATGGCACGAAAGCTCATACACCCTAAAAGACGAATGAAACAAGCCCCAATCTTCAATGAAAGCATTAGATTAGTTAGTAGGGATTTACACCACACCCTCCAACTGTCTCAATTTGTCAGTAACAGCCCCAATTGATCTAATGACATGCTTTTTAAAAATGTTCTAATTTCTTTCTCCTCTCGCTTTCCCCTTCCATCCTCAAGCCTACTTCATTGTTGTAAACTGAGTTTACATTTTTAAAAATGCACTTGACTTAGTAGAGGAAAGAGGAAAAGGGGAATAGAAAGAGAAAAGGGCATAATCTTATTTTTCCAGTAGGCAAAAGCAAACAGCTGCATCCACTTTTAGCTTGCATGTTCATTTTCATAAATAACATTGGCATTCTTGACCAATGCTAAAATTGCTTACCCAAACACATCCCATTGTTCACTTGTGAAATGTTGGAGGGTAAGAGACCGGATTCTTTTGAATATGACAAAAACATCCTTTTTATCCTGTTCACCTCACCACATGAATTTTCTCAAACTCACCTCACCTTATGAATTTACACATTTGAGCATTTCATGACATTTTAAAATGTGAATAGCAAAAATGAGCAGAATTTTTAACTGCTCTGAGTCCCCTTGAGGAGAGCTGATAGTTATTATTATTATTATTATTATTATTATTATTATTATTTGAAACACAACAAGATGAGTCCACAGCAGACACTCTGCTGGCTGTTGAATTGGATCACATGTCGGACACTTCCCAAGTGTCAAGGACTGTGTGATGTATCGACGAATAATGCATGCAGATCCCAGTAAGGTGGCCTTCTGCAACAGGAAGATGGTAATTGTCAGTGCCGATTGGGTTTAAGTGCAGGCCGAGGTCTGCACTTAAACCCAGTGTGCTGATCCCCACTGGGACCACCTTTACTAGTTTGCGCCAGAGGGAAACGAGAGAATAGGTATCCAGACTATGCTAATGCACACCTAGCTCTAGCAGAGAAGAGTCCTTTGTCTCACCCTGGTCATGCCACAGATAAATAAACTCTTTTGCCTAGTTCCAACAGACCTCACTACCTCTGAGGATGCTTGCCAAAGTGCAGGCAAAACGTCAGGAGAGAATGCCTCTAGACCATGGCCATACAGCCCGAAAAAACCTACAACAACCATATGCTAATGCGGTTGCACTCCTTCTGAAATCCCATTTTCACAGCCTGGGTGGACTCCTGGAGTTGGATCCGAGCCTGGAAGACTAAATTTTGCTTGCGAACAAGAATACACTTGCAAGGTGTAGTGTTTGAACTGTGTCTGTTTATTTGATATATTAAATCTGGTAGAGTGGTCAAATTCAACATGACCTATTAAGGAGGAAAGGGCCACTGAAATGGGTGGATTTAGCAGAAATGTCTAGTGTGGTTAGAGAAATGACATTAGAAACACTGTATTATCGAAGGTTTTCGTGGCCAGAATCACTGGGTTGTTGTAGGTTTTTCGGGCTGTATGGCCATGTTCTAGGAGCATTCTCTCCTGATGTTTCACCTGCATCTATGACAGGCATCCTTGGAGGTTGTGAGACACTTCTCAGTAAAGCTGTGTGTACAAATCAGTTATACTTCATACACTTGATACAGGATCTTAGCCTAGGTATCACTCCAGCAAAACCCTCCAACAGGCACCTGGCCTTGAATATTACACTAAAAGCCTTTTTAAAGTATTCATCACAATGTCCATTTCAATTCACAAGCTCTTACTCCATTCAGGAGTAAGGTATAAAGAAAAGAGAAGTTTATCTTTTGTAACAGTTTGTACACTGACATCAGCCAAGTTGATATTTGGGTGGTGACTCAAATCTGATTTTGTTGTACTTTAGAATGTCAAAACAGTTTCCATCCAAGTTTATTTTTCTCCCCACTGTCTCTAAGGGTGCCAGAAGAGACTTTTTGCTAACGGGTTTGAGTTAGTGCTGAGATCCACTCTCTACATATTACTGTTATTATATGTCTTTATCCAACTGTTCTGCCGGATTGGAAATGCTTTTAGTCAACAGAGGTGGGAAACACAAAGTGCTTTCATTGTGTTCTGCTGGGAATAAAGAGTTTTAAATGATTATTTACTCAGTGGGATGAACAAGCTTTAAATCTGATCATGATTATGACCTTCTGCTACACTGCTATGTTTTCAGAAACAGGAAAAAGCTTGTATTGCTCTAAATATTGCTGCAACATTCACCTTCACAACACTCATTGTGAAATTATCCCTCCTTCTTCCACCCAATAAAGCATATAAATGGAATAAGAATATTAAGACAAGAATCCCATTGATTCATCCCAACTAGGATGAACTGACTGAATAATTTGGCCAACAGATAGGAAAAATGTACTGATTTAATGGATCTACCCTTGT